TACATTATTTAGTAAATTTTATAAAAAATTTGAAATATTATTATTATATTTTTACATTGAATTAATATTTTTATCCTGAACAAGTAAAGAATACAAATGTATCCCAGATAACTATACTACTTAAAAATTATTTTATATTTTTAAAGTAATATGTTGAATGATGTATTCACTGTTCTGAGTATTTATTTAATATGGTGACAGGTTGTAACAATTTGGAAATGACTATCAGAATATGTGATTTTTATACATTTATCTTTTCACGTATTTTAAATTCATCTTATCTTTTTAATGTTTTAGTAGAAACTAGAAATGTAGCTAATTTAAAAACGAAACCAAATGCATTGCATAGTGGGCATATCTTTAACCAACTTTTTTGTGCACAATATTGATAATTATAGTATTTAGTATATGTTATAAAGATTGGTCTAAATGTTAGCGAATGTCATAGGTGAATTTAAATGGAAAATATTGTAGTTAAACTTCCACGCGCATACACAAATTTTCAACAAAGAATTAAGTCGAAATATTTAAAAATTTAAAAAACTCGGTGACATTTAATCCGGTTAGTTGAAGATTGAATTGGAGATGAAATTATGAACTACAATATTTTACTTATCATAGACTTATTACAAAATTATAACTATCTTGTAATTGGATGATTTTAGTATTAATTTAAGAAACGTTTAACATTATATAGSCTCATAATAATAAAGTGATAATACTATTTTTTTCTTAGATTTATCAAGATTAAATATACTGTGTTCATTGTATGGATGTATAATAATAAAAATATCGCGTTAAAAGGTTTGGTATTTATATTGACATTTAATTAAAATCGTGTTACACAAGTAATAGTGACAWAGTGTGGATAATGGTCTTAAAGTCCTGAACAATATTTACATGACTATTATAGTATTACAGGCATTGTGTATAGGTAATAGCCTATTATAATCGTCAAAGATTTATTTATTTCAACTTTTTACTGATCACAGTTGAGTAGTTTTAATTGTGCGTCTGGAGAGCAATTGAAAATGTCAATTTATATGAATTAAGCTAATTCCGGTTTTAAACTCGAAAGTTTCTTTAGAAAGGTACAATAATTAACATATTTTGACTTCTTAGCGTTTTGGTTTCATAAATCCCAATTTCAATAAAATCGTTTAACCATACAATACCTATGTATGATGTTGTCCTATATATTATATATTTATAATTTCCACGAATATACCCGGATAAAATACAAATAATATTAATAATGCAACATAAAAATATAAACTGGTATTTCAATCATATAATAATATTWAAAAAAATAATGTGTGCACTGTCTGTCYACTGATTGCTCTGATGTATTGTAATTTCGTGCAATACGTTTTTTTCCCATCAAGCCAAAATTCTACACTAATCCTCCTCACTTGCCGGTACAGCGCGAGATCAGCCGGTTAATGGACCCGGTTTTCGACAATTTTATAATAACAGTGATCATAATAATGAAAATAAAATATTGAAAATCTGAACGTACGATTCTATATAGGTTGTGTGCGCGATGACGGAGAGGGGTGAAGGGGTGAGAGGAAAAAGAGACAACGAAAAGAAAATTAATGTAAAATCCATCGTACATGGCGACAGCCGGACGGCGTAGACTCCGCCTCTTAAGACTTCTTCAAACCGATAGCCAGCGAACGGTTTCACCACCATCAGGCATCAGTTGATCCGCAGCGCGCTCGACTATTCATTTTACGTACGCGAGTCTAATATACATATTATTATCGCTGGTTTCGTTTTTTAAAATATATATGCGCAACAATTATAATCCGAATTTTACGCTCGTGTATCGATTTAGTGGTCTTGTCACCTGTGTCGTACTGTTGTTCGTTTGTCGTAAAAAAATATGCCCGCAGTACATATAACGCATGAGAGAAGATAAATTGTATCACCGACATTGGTAAGTATTTCAACTCGAGTCCTATTAAACATTCTATGAAAATATATTTTTATATTAGGCTGGTTAATTGTTGTCCTCGTGGTTATACGTTAATTTATTTTCATGAGGATTACTTTACTCCACGCAGTTTGTTATTATTAGTTAGCGTTTTTATTTTGTCTTTTAGCGTAATTACCTATTTACTACTGAAATATATCTATGAATAAGTTGTCTCTATTCATTGATTTATCCTTTACATAATATCTTAAACTTCTTTAACACTATGTTGTTACTTTAAATAGTAGTTAATTTAATAGATAATTATCTAAAGACTGTCGCAATTCCAGTTAAATACACCATACCTATATACGTTTATGTAGCTGGTGTACCATCACTAGTTCAGAAGTTAGTCGATATTAAATAAGTTACATTTTATGTACAAAATTTAAAACGAAAAACTTTGTGTTAGCTTGGATATTTTTATATTTTTATACACGTGATTTGTATAAGACGGTTACTTATAAATTATATTATATAATTTATATAAACTGTATTAGTTTTTAGTTTATAAGCTTGTTATTTGTTTCTCAGAAATTATAGTATGATAATTTTTTTTATTGATTTGTTTTGATAAACGATGTATGATAATTAACCTTTGATGTTTAAATAATGTTACCATCGTTCTTTTCACCTATTTGAATACAAATAAGGCTTGTCAAAATATTTTGGAATTCGATGGTAATTTTTGCTACAAATCTTCTATGTGACTATGAAGCTTATTAATATAGATATTATTAATTCCAATAGTTCTCATCTTAACTAGTTGGTAATAATAAAAAATAAAAATAACTATAATCTGTACTTATAACCCGGTGATAAAATACCTGTTTTTTTTTTCAATATTTTAGAAGAGTATATTTGTTCGGTTTGGGGTGTTACACAATTGTACGTTAAAGAATAAAATAGTTTTAACGTCATTGCAATAATTGACAGTACATCGATATAGGTAATATTATTTATTTTATATTTTCATATTGATGAGTGAGTTATTCCTAAGGCATTGTGTAAGACAGTCAAAATTTTATTTGTTACCATTATGATTTAACTGGCCAGAAATCCTTACTAAATTTATTTTTATTTTAATCAGTAATAGTTGATTTAATTTTAAATCTGACGTACTAAGATATCAAGAATTATTTGTGACCTGCAGCAGGTTGATAAGATTTAAGATTTCTCTACTTATTGTTTAGTTTTACACTTTTACGTGACATGCGAGAGATTATGATTTTGTTGAAGCAAACATTGGACTGTTTAACGTTTAACTCTAATGGTAAATACGAATTCCGTTCAAAAACGTCACTACATATTATTATACAATTGTAGAGATATTGACTGAAAATAAAAATTATTAACTATACAGAGTGGTTAAAAATGGAATGATAGAACGAGAACGGACACTTACATTGYGTAGTAACTTTGCAAGTATAATTATTTGATATTTTACATAATATCAAGAACCTTAATTTAGTATATAATAAAATAACTTATGAAAACTATCAAGTCTTATCTTGTAGAAAAATGATAACGAAAAACATTGAACATTTTCGTTAGCAGTGTTTTACATATTTTCATTTATCTACATTTTAAATAACATTATATTTTATTTGAATTCTTCCAATACCAAAAAGTATCAGGAAATTCGTGATTTTTTTTTGTCTACTCGTATATAGAAAATATAATACTGTTGTTGTGATTAATTTTTTTTCAAAATTGTTTTAAGCTAAAAATGTATTATTCTATTGTAGTATAATGAAATTAAATTTGAAATCTATTGATTATATAATCACCTAATCAACTAGGTATCTAACTAATAAATATCACCGCAAGATGTGGTGCATATTAATTTATAATTATTATTAATATTTTAGCCCTTAGGTATTATTATTTATTTTTAATGGGTGGATGAGACGTACATTTTCGTACTTTGTAATATTACAACAGACGTGTCGTAATCGTAATTAATTTGTATATAATATAGTAATAATAATAAAATACAATTTCGTACCATCCGTGTTCGAATTGTCAACCCGGCGAGATAAGCATCGGCTATATAAATTCATCTCTGTCGAGGGCAACGTGCATTAACCGTCGCGGGTGGCTATATATATTATTTAGGTAGGTATAAGTATAATGGTAGTAAAAAAAAATAAAAATAATAGTTGGGTTGTCGAGACGTAAAACACGGAAGTCCTTTTTACTAGATAATATTATGATTATTGCTGGCATATACTTATAGAAGTATAGCAGGTAGGCGGTTGCTTACACAAGGGGTGATGGGCTGTGTTGGTAGGCGGAGTGTGATGATTTGCGGGGAGAGGGTCGTGGAATCGAAAAAATTCGAACCCTCACGGGACTTATTTTTTTCATGATGCTATACCACAATACTTTCTATATATTATATAATTATTACCCATATAATATAACAGCATTATAGATTGGCAATTTGAACAGTGGACACGCACGCGACGAGGGCGGAACTGCGCATCCACCCTAATAATTGGTCAGGAAAATCCATCGGTCCCATGGCAACGTAATTTTCCTAGTGACTTTTACCATGCACATACGCACACACACGCCCTTTTTCTCGAATCGACGTCCAAACTTGAAACCYATGACGACGTACTTTTTGCGACAACTTTCCTCGATGATGATGCCTCCCCCTCAGTGACGACGGCCATAATTAATATACTTATAGTTGTATTTTGATCCTACTGCCACAATGTTTATCAAGTAATATACTCTTGTGTTATTAATTATTATTTTTAATATTATAATATTAAAGTTGCTTTTATACAACTAATTACTTATAATAATAAGACACCGTTTAAATATGCGTAGTGCAAATATACTGCAGTTTTCAGTTATTTTAAGTATTTGAATTATTTTTCATCATAATGCTTGAAATAATAATTATATATATATATATTAATTTATATTTTAACGTCTAACAGCTTATAATTACAATACACGATATAATATTACTATGATTAAGTCTTTCTCATTTTTGCGATGTTGCAAATCATAATATTGCTTTAAAATTTTAAAATATTTTACATTTTACTCAATATATTTTGGTACCTTGTCTCATCATTTTAATTCCTATTGTTTTTAATTCTTTGGAAGAAATACTAAAAAAAACTAACCAAACTATTCTATAGTTTCGTCGATTGTTCGGTAAGTTGATACCCAGATCATCAGTAATGTATATAAAATATAACAATATTTTATTTTAAATGTAAATGTATGTTAACTTTTACTCGGTATAACTAATTGTCTTTTCAAATATTTACATCAAAATCCTCTCATATTCCCTAGTTTAGTATAAATCTGATGTTATACTGATATACCGTAACAGAGATAGGCAACGTTTTTATATTTACCGTACCGCGTAACAATAGTAATAAACATTTTTATTGGATTGTTGACTTTATATGATATAATTCATGTCGATATATTATGTAATCTAAAATTTGCATACGTTCATATAAAATGCACCTATTAATTAATTAGAAATATAAAATAAATAAAAAGTGTGCAGTTCAGTGTTCTGACTGTTGAATGATAATATAGATATAATATTCTGATTCTAAATATAAATATAATTAATAAAACTTTAAATTACCTAATTAAAAAACTTTTTTATTAATACATTTATGAATAATATTAAATTAAAAATATATGAATACCTGAATATCTGGATTTTTAGATATCCTCAAAATTCAAATTCGCGGATATTTCAATAATTATTCTCTGCATAATATTATATTTTAATGAATTCAAACTTAAAAATGAAAAATATATCATAGAATATTGTTACTTTTATATTATACTACCATAATAGTAATAGATTTACCTGTGCGATCAATAATCATATTAATACCAAACGAACATCTCAAGTTAAAAATATCTACCAATACGCTATATATATACATATATATATATATATATATATATGTTATACTTATAGTTTGTTTCAGTCTATAGGTTCTGTAAATTTATAATGATTACAATATATACATTTCAAAACATTAGGGTATTTAAGAGTTTACGACACAATTATTATTACATGCGTATGTATTTTATTCTTATTTCTATTTATTTTTCAAGAAGATAAAGTATATAACTTATCTATTTTCCGTATTTATGTTTTTTCTTTGTATGTATTGTGCGAAACTATGTACAGCGTTAAAAATATTCTGGAATGTGATAAATTTAAAATATTATTTTGCATAACTAGTTATTATTCTTGTCTAGTTAGCACAGCTTTAATATTTTTTACTCCAAAAATAATCGGTAACCGTCATATTTCACAATTAAAGTTTTAACGTTTTATCGATCTCAGTACCTGTGTGACAAATACCCGACAGCATTAAAACATTTAAAGAAAACTAATTTTAACCCTTTACGTTTCATAAGATACACATTGTTTCAAATGTACCTATACATCATCATGCCTAATTATCGGGGCTGCGCCTGCTGATCTTCCCTAACTGCAAAATATCGATGAGTTTAACTAATTGATAGCGAATCAGCAATATTATTGAACAGAAACTGTGGATAATAAAACTATGTTAAAAACAATAAAAACGTATACATGTATAGTACATCATTATTATACTTTTGAGTTTATAATTTTTTTATTCACTGAAACGAGTTTGCTGTGTCGTGTCAGATCAAATGAATGAGGATGTTTTTGTCACACGGCCTTAGATTGACTTTGCTCCCGCGAGTGACTGTTAAAAATTAACATTCCTCAAGTCGGCATACTGGATTGTCCAGATCCTGTGAGGTATTACGAGATAACGCATATATTAGTATAAACAGTTAGGAGAATAAAATACCGCTTGTATATGTGTTTAGCAACTATAAAAAATAAAGAGGAAAAAACAAAGATCATAATTAACGACCCAATAAAAGTTGTTGAATTTTTTTCTTAATTATTGTAATTATGTTGTACTAAA